TCTAACTTAAAACAAGAAAGAATGATGCATTAGAACAGGGGAACGTACCTAGGCAGGGGCAGAGACGAGTGAAAATAGCCTGACCCGTGGAACGGATATCCAGATCTTCTCGGGTAATGATACCATGAATGATTCGGTAAAGTCCGTGGATATCCATACGGGTCATTGTACCCATGTCCATAATTGTACTGACCATAGTCACTATAATAACTTCTACTTAATTCCGGGTGCTTTAACTTGACCCATTTCAGCTCTGCATGGTACCCGGTCCTTGCTAAGGCCCGCATAAGTATGTTCGGGTCGACCAACCCGGAAACTCTTGCTGTTCCTTCTTCAGCATCTATGGTGACAGAGTATACCCCTACCAATAAATTAAATTTATGCAAATTATTAGTGCGTTCTCAGTCCTCGAGTAGTTTCATTTAAAACTAAAAATATTTGGGTACGTTAAATTAAATAAAACTAAACAAAATAACGAGTATATAATCTACATTTTTACTTTTTTTTTTTTAAATACTGTTAAATTCAACGTACCGCAGATTGAATTCAAGACTTCTATCATCTTCATTTTACATGCTTGACAATGGACATTAACCTTCAAAACACAACCCTACAACACCAAAAATTTATGTACGTAACATGTTAATGTTTTATGTAATATATACACAATAAATACATACGAAAAAAATTAGAGAAATTGTGATTGTGGGTTTTTACCGCATCTGCGAAAGGTTCCATTTCTAGTATTCGACTCCAAATTTATGAAAATGTAAAATTTAAAATAAGGTTTTGTGATCTTTTATAAGCCTTCTATCATTAAAATTAGAAGTAAATCGGGTTTTGATATGGTTACAATTGTTACCAATTAGAGTAACTCATTTAGGAAAGCTAAATCAATGTAAAAGACGAGGTAATATTAAGATATAAGTTACAGAATATTTATTTGCCCAATTTACATAAACTCATTTGTCTGCGTATTATTTGAACAAAATTATTCAATTAAGACAACTTTAAGAAACATGTCATCGTCATGAATCCGACAGAAAAGTGGGGTCAATCATAACGTAAAATAGAACAAATTGGGTTTAGGAAAATTAGGCTTGAACTGATGATTTTTACCATGTTAAGGCGATGTTCTATCGTTGAGTTATATATCTTCTTGAGCCCATTGATAAAACGAATCGACTAATCCTAAGTCAAATGATCGAGAAACCCAATGCTGCTATCCTCCATCAATTTGTAACCGAATCTTCTTTTCGCAATATTACAAATATGAAAATAATGATCACAATCGAATTCAATTATCAACTACCCTTAACGAAAATAGGAATGATTAGCAATTCTAATGGAACTGGAGTTGCATCTTTTTTTCATTTTCATTCGAGAGTTCTTATTTGTTTGCATGCTTTCCGCGATAAATGGACAATTTCTTGAGTGTATTTAAGAGTTCTTGATTAAGCTTGACATGTTTACACCAAAAGCAAGGATGGATTTTAAAGAAATGCAGCTTGTACTTGCTTCAAACTCCCAAGTAGTTTTGGGCGAAGGATTAATGTCGAAGTACATAATTTTATGATAATTCTAAGGTACTCTGTCAGAGAGAGGGCGGCCTTATAAACTTATTGTAGTAACAAATTATCCTGAGAGTTGAGAGTAAAAAGGAGAAACGGTAAAGATATTGAAGGACTGTGAAAACTTATGTTGCTGATTATTGGAAAAATCTACCCAAGGCGCCTCCTCTCAAACTGGGACTCGTGACAATGTGGGTCGAGCCAATCTCTAGAAGTACTCTTTGAAGTGTTGGAGGACATTCTTCCACCACCCACAAGCTCTCTCAAGTCATCGACCTTATTTTCCCGCCCAGTTGCACTGTATTGCCTATCCGCTTCCTTAAGTTTCTGTCTAAACCTCTGCTTGCGGCTAGAAGAATTCAGCTCTTGCAGCTTCGAATGTGATGGTGGGGCTCCGTGTGGTCCGAGATATATCTTCTCTTCTTTATTAGCCTGCCAAATCGTGATACATAAACAGGTCAATATACTTTATTAGTCAGTTTAAAAACCATATTTTTGCTTCTTTCGCGGTTAATTTAAAAGCTTAAGCACCTTTACCTGAATTGTGGACGGTTTAGAATCTTCTACTTTTGGAGAAACAGTTTGATTCTGGTCTGGATCTCCAATGCCCAAGCTTGGAATCACAAATCCATCAGTGTCTACCATAACACATTAGAAAAAATGATGTCAATATAATCCTCTCTCAATTATGCAATTGCCTAGAGATTTAAATCCTCTGAATTAAAAACATGACAGAGAACAGAGATAAGATATTAATCTATCATAACCAGTCAAGCATCATAAACACGAATGGCTTTTATTTCAAATAATAATGGGGAAGTTTTGGTAATTGGTACACTTGTGTTGGATGTGTAATTACTTTGAAAGGTCGATCAACTTGCACTAAATCAAACTACAAGTGTTTGCTCCTGAGCTGACTAAAAAGACTAATGAGCAACCAAAACTCCAAGTACATAACCCAGCAGTGGAACAAATGTAGCAGACGCTACTCATAGAGATTTTCAAAAACAACTAAGTATTTAATAAGTTAAATGACCAGAAGCAGAAAACAAACAAAAATTAGCTTTACTTTCAAATATTATAACATACATAGTTAGATGGTCACATGGTCAAATTGTGAAAATTACTTGTTAATTCAAATTTCCAACGTGATATTTCTTCATCAATTTATATCCGGCACCCAGTTCGTTTGGCATTATAGGACTTCAGACAAGTAATTGATGTTGGTTTATCGTCTGGACAAAGAGATTTTAATCCATACTCCCCTAACTCGTTTAAATTTTCTCCTCAAATGAATACCGATCTTCAAAACCATGTGAGTTTATTTGAAGTACCCGAAAGTTTTAACAAGTAGCTTCATCCGTAGATGCATCAGCCAACTCTCTATACATATAATTGCAAAAGCAAACAAAAAGTTAGTTTACAATAAAAAACAATGACTACTGTACACCACGATTCAAATATCTAATCGAATCGCATTGGATTGCTCGCATTGTATTCATACATGCTACTTTAACTCGTTCCACTATCATTTACTTAACTTAAATGCAAGCCTCAATAAACTTTTGATGTGATTCAAGTCCCTAAAAAGCTTTTACCAACTATCGATATCTATAACCACAAACTCTCTTAAACCAAATGGATGAAATAAGAAAAAAGATGAACTGAATGAGCTTTAAAGTAACATATAACATCCACTTAACCATTTTAACATTGTTCTTTAGAAGTTTTATGTCTTATACACAAGACTCAATTCATCAAGGCAAACCCAACATAAATTAACATCCAAATTATATTGAGAAACAATAGAAACTGATTGCGTTCGGATGGCTATGCCTAGAATCCAAAGTTTCAATTAGAAAACATCATATAGTTGATAAAGGGGTTAGCATTAATTGCAAGTAGAAAACATGTATTAGATATTATTTGTAGTAATCCACCGAATGTTAGTGAAAATTAGAACCCAAATTCACGCAGATAAACATAATGTGGACAAATTTATTAAAGTGATCGTAATTTTTTTTAAAAAAAGACCACAAAATAGAAAGAGTACCTGAATCAATCCTAGTTTCGAACCAACGTTAATCAATTTTGAATTAAATGAAGTAAGTAAAAAAATCTTCTAAATTTCGATGAGACTCAAAAGCAAAAGAATGAAAAACGGAAATACCCCACTCGTCTTCTTCAACGGAAGGAGTGGAATGCACAGGAGAGGAGTCCATGTGATGCTGAAGATCATGGATTTGAGTTTGCAATTGATAATTCGAACGAGTCTCCACCGCCTGCACAATTATGAGTTAACTCGCTCAGGAAAATTCAAGCTTCAATGAAAAATCAATAATTGGAAACCGAATCTTGGAGTAGTGCGGAAGGAATAAAGGGAAACCCTAGAAAGATCTATTCCTTCTACTTTCTCAAATGGCACCTGAACTTTTGAATTCATTTCTTATATGTACTTAAACTTTTAATTTTTCCACATTCATACCCAAACCTCTAAATTTGTTCCCATCCATACCTGTTTAACCGGACATTTCTTATAATAGGTACCAAAACTTTCAATTTTCTCTGATAGATACTCGGACTTTCAAACATATTTACCGTCCATACCTAGTTTAACTAGTCGTCGATAACTCTAATGATTCAATCAAACGTAGTAATTGACAACGTTAATCCATATATCAGCATATGCATGATCCCGAACTCTACAAATCACGTTCGTTTTTTTCTTGAGTGCACATCATTATTCATTGGTGTATGATCTCCAAGTGCGTTTGTTCGTATTATCTAAAGAAATTTAGAACTGTATAACCTTGTTCAGAGATGTTTTTGTCGATATTGACCTATATTCAATCAAATGTAGTAATTGACAATGTTAATCCATATATCAACATATGCATGATCCCGAACTCTACAAATCACATTCATTTTTTTCTTGAGAGCACATCTTTATTCTTTAGTGTATGGCGATAAGTTAATGATGCAACTGAATTTGATTTCACATTTATTTTACTACTAGATTGTGATGGTATAATATTAATTGATGTTGAATGGGTTTGAAAGAGGATACGGGAATATACAGAGCAACGTAAAATTAAATTTTAGAGTCGTCATTTGATACATAAGACCTAGGGGTGACGAACTACCTTTGTTTCAGCATCCCACTCTATTGGGTAATTGAGACGAGTAAAATTCTCCCCTCCCGATTTTTTATTTTGTGCAATTTTAGTTTTTGTATTTTTAAATTTAACTTGTACTAAGAAAATAAATAAAAAAAAGTACATGAGTGATAAATCTTGATATTTTATTCCTCACCCGTCTTTCAAAAAGTCTGAGCGAGAGGAGATGTGGAGGTCATCTCGAACTCGGATAAGGCATGTACTATCGTGTCGCCACATTACCATTAGTCATTAGAGTTGTCAAATTTGAAAGTTCGGATACGGATTAACGAAAATTAAGTTCTTATTTAAACCCATTTTTTAAAACTCTTTTTTTTTTTTTTTATCTGAACTCATCTTCAACTCCACATTTTTCCAATAAATTTTTTTTACAGTTAAACTAAAAAAAATTCATGATCTTTAACCACACATTCTTAAAATTATTTAAAAAAAAAAAAATATTCTAGAAAGCTCAAAACAGGGGTTAAATGTTTAAATACATGTAAGAGACAATTAAAAGTTCAAATATCATTTGTGCTTTTGCCCTTTCTCATGTTACCTGACGGCTGACATTACAATGAATGCATCGAATAAAAGACCTTTCCGTTTAATTGGACAAAAGTGCTCTCTTGCCGACAAGATATAGAGTACATTTTCTCTCGCATTATTATTTTACTATGAGTAGTCTAAATGTACACAATTCATCACATAATATACTATGAGTAGTCTAAATGTACACAATTCATCACATAATAAAATATTAGCGGATCCCATGTGAGGGGTGTAATCCATTATGTAATGAATTGAATGTACATCTAGCACAATCTATAAATGCAATATATCATGTCTAATTTTGATCCATTCAGACTTAGAGACCCTGTTTGTTAGGTATTACAATTAGATTTTTTTGTAAATTTTAATAAAAATTGATGAAATATGTGGTTGAAAAGTTATAAGGTCCATGAAATGTGTGATAAAAATTCATTGTTAACTTTGATTTATGATTAAAATTAAGTTATCAAACATACCCAATTTTGTGTAAGCTCAAGGAAACAAAGCAGCATCGTATCTCATAGAAGTAACATTTTCCAATTAAGTTATACGTACATTGTTCTTGACAATATGGATGACATCACCCTCTACGTGAAAGAAATTTGTGCAGTGATGTGATTGATGTGTTCAAAATCAAGAGCGTAGATCTCGCCACATAGAAATGTGTAAAAATTAACGCAGAGGAGAATGGAAGTGTATCATAATTGAACATTTTTTTGTGCACAATTGAGGATGGCTTCCATAAAATTTGCAGACAAGACCATGATGCTTTTAATGTCTTAGTGACAACACTATGAATGGAAAATGAACAAAATTATTTATATTCAAAAAAAGTACCTTCATTTATGTGATAAAGCTATTCATACAGCGTGCCTTTAATGAAAAATTATCGAACTGGCCGGGTCGAAAAAATTTAAATTTGGAGAAAATTATTTAAATTCATGACTTTTAAGCCTTAATTTCATTAATCAAGCATTAATTTAATTAATTTATTTTTTTAAAAAATTAGTTGATCACATGAATTTATATGCTTATGTCACAATTAGATAAAATAACTGGTCACAATCATAGACACATGGACGGTAAATTCTTAAATAAAAAGGTCACAATAAAACAAACTAACATGTCACATATAAATTATGTTATAATCAGACATCATACTAAAGTCACAATCACATCATTTATCAAAATAGGTCATAGTTACATGTCACTTGATTTTTGAAATTGTTGCATAAGTTCGGTAATTCTAAAATTGTGTTCTTAAACTATCGTAGTTATGAAAATTTTCCTTATATTTATGGAAAACTCATGACTCGTTCCCGTTATAACTGGTTCGACCGATGTAAGTGTATATTTTAAAAATTTTTTAAATATATATATTTTTGAAGAAATTTGTAAATATATATATTTTTAAAAATCATCGGTTCGATCTCGATTCGACTTTGGTTCAACTTTTTGACTCTTGACCAT